CAAACAAAGAGTCCTTCACTCTGAGGGATAATATGGTTTGTCAACACAAATCGTAATGTTAAGATTTATTAACTTGAAAAGGTCTTAAGAATTTTCATTTGGTTATTTTAGTCTCATCCTTTGCTTTAAAATTAAAACCTTACAATTCAGCATTATATTCTTCCAAATTAAAACTGCCAAATGGTATTCCATTTGAAACCCTTAGGGGATTCCCTGGCAGTCCAGTGGTTGGGACTTGGCACGTTCACTGGTGTAACCCAGGTTCAATCTTTGGTCAGGGAAAGAAGGTCCTTCACATGGCAGGGCAAAAAATAAAAACAAACAAAACAGTGAAGGATACATGACAAATATGCTAGCCAGAATAGGGTCATTACAAAACAACATTTTGAGGATACCTCCAGTTCAGTTCAGTCTATCAGAAGTGTCTGACCCTTTGACTCTTTTGAGGATACCTAGGCAGCCACACATTTGAGTTCAGTTCAGTTCAGTCGCTCACTCATGCCCAACTCTTTGCAACCTCATGGACTGCAGCACGCCAGGCCTCCCTGTCCATCACCAACTCCCAGAGTTTATCCAAACTCATGTCCATTGAGTCAGTGATACCATCCAACCATCTCATACTCTGTCGTCCCCTTCTCCTCCTGCCCCCAATCCCTCCCAGCATCACAGTCTTTTCAAATGAGTCAGCTCTTCACATCAGGTGACCAAAGTATTGGAGTCTCAGCTTCAACATCAGTCCTTCCAGTGAACACCTAGGACTGATCTCCTTTAGGATGGACTGGTTGGATCTCCTTGCAGTCCAAGGGACTCTCAAGAGTCTTCTCCAACACCACAGTTCAAAAGTATCAATTCTTTGGCGCTCAGCTTTCTTTACAGTCCAACTCTCACACCTGTACATGACCACTGGGAAAACCATAGCCTTGACTAGACAGACCTTTGTTGACAAAGTAATGTCTCTGCTTTTTAATATGCTGCCTAGGTTGGTCATAACTTTCCTTCCAAGGAGTGTCTTTTAATTTCATGGCTGCAGTCACCATCTGCAATGGTTTTGGAGCCCCCCAAAATAAAGTCAGCCACTGTTTCCACTGTTTCCCCATCTATTTGCCATGAAGTGATGGGACCAGATGCCATGACCTTAGTTTTCTGAATGTTGAGCTTTAAGGCAACTTTTTCACTCTCCTCTTTCACATTCATCAAAAGGCTCTGTAGTTCTTCTTCACTTTCTGCCATAAGGGTGGTGTCATCTGCATAACTGAGGTTATGGATATTTCTCCTGGCAATCTTGATTCCAGCTTGTGCTTGATACAGCCCGATATTTCACATGATGTACTCTGCATAGAAGTTAAATAAGCAGGGTGACAATATACAGCCTTGACACACTCTATTCCCGATTTGGAAAGGGGATTTGGAAACCAGTCTGTTGTTCCATATCCAGTTCTAACTGTTGCTTCCTGACCTGCATATAGATTTCTCAGAAGGGAAGTCAGGTGTCTGGTATTCCCATCCCTTTAAGAATTTTCCACAGTGTGTTGTGATCCACACAGTCAAAGGCTTTAGCATAGTCAATAAAGCAGAAATAGATGTTTTTCCGGAACTCTCTTGCTTTTTCAATGATCCAGCGGATGTTGGCAATTTGATCTCTGGTTTCTCTGCCTTTTCTAAATCCATCTTGAACATCTGGAAGTTCATGTTTCACGTATTGCTAAAGCCTGGCTTGGAGAATTTTGAGCATTACTTTACTAGCGTGTGAGATGAGTGCAATTGTGTCATTGTTTGGGCATTCTTTGGCATTGCCTTTCTTTGGGATTGGAATGAAAACTGTCCTTTTCCAGTCCTGTGGCCACTGCTGAGTTTTCCAAATTTGCAGTCATATTGAGTGCATCACTTTCACAGCATCATCTTTTAGGATTTGAAATAGCACAACTGGAATTCCATCACTTCCACTAGCTTTGTTGCTAATGTTGCTTCCTAAGGCCCACTTGGCTTTGCATTCCAGGATGTCTGGCTCTAGGTGACAGATCACACCATTGTTGTAATCTGGGTCATGAAGATCTTTTTTGTATAGTTCTGTGTATTCTTGCCACCGCTTCTTAATATCTTCTGTTTCTGTTAGGTCCATACTGTTTCTGTCCTTTATTGTGCCCATTTTTGCATGCAATGTTCCCTTGGTATCTCGAATTTTCTTGAAGAGATCTCTAGTCTTTCCCACTCTATTGTTTTCCTCTATTTCTTTACACTGATCATTGAAGAAGTCTTTCTTATCTCTCCTTGCTATTCAGTTCTGCTTTACTGTCATGCTAATTTACTCCTAATCATGCTGAAGCACCTGCCCCTCTCTTTCTCACTAGAAAGTACTTTCAGATCAGCAATTGATTTGGCTAATTTTATGCCATCATGGCCTAATATAATTCCAGAGGTACTACAGTGTCTGAGAAACACCCTTTCTAGCTGATCCCTCCATTTCCACTACCCTGGTTTAGCTGAGGACATTATTTTCCATCTAGGCCATTGGATTCAAACCCAGCTGATTATGAGAACCTCTGAGAAGTTTTCAAAAATAGATTTTAGGGCCCCGGGAACATTCATTGTTTTGAGCTTTTTATTCTTTATTGGAATATAGTTGATTAACAATGTGTTAATTTAGGTGTACAGTAAAGTGATTCAGTTATACATACACATGTATCTACTTTTTCCAGTTCTTTTTCCCATTTAGATTGTTATGTAATATTGAGCAGAGTTCCCTGTTATGCAGCAGGTCCTTGTTGGTTATACAGTTTAAACACAGAAGCCACCATCATGAGAAGCCCATGCACCACAACTAGAGAGCAGCCCCTACTTCCTACCAGCAGAGAAAGCTCACATGCAGCAAGGGAGATTCAACACGGCCAAAAACAAATGGGCATGTTAAAAAATAAATGTTTAAAAAATACAGCAGTGTGTATACATGTCAATCCCAAACTCCCTAAATATCTTTCCCCTCCACCCTTCCCTACTAGTAACCATAAATTCAGTCTGTGAGTTTCTGTGTTGTAAATAAGTATCATTTGTATGTTCATATGTATCAGGGTTTTTTGATTCCATATATAAGCAGTATCATATGGTATATTTCTCTGACTTCATTCAGTATGACAATTTCTATGGTGTATCCATGTTTCTGCAAATGGCATTATATCATTCTTTTTAACGACTGAGTAATATTCATATATATATATACACATACACACACCACATCTTCTTTATCCATTCTGTCTGGAACCTGCATTTTTAATGACCTCCCCAGATAATTCCTAAATTTGAAAACCATTGATGTACAAACTTTGAGGTGCATCCAACTTCACCTGCAGGGCTTGTGAAAGCACACATTGCTAGGCCCTGCCTCCAGTTGCTTAGGTCTGGGGTGATGCTTAGGAATATGCATTTCTAATAAATTCCCAGGTAATGCTGAGTTGCGGGTCTAGAGCCACTCTTTGAAGATTACTGATTTAGATCTTTGCTGTAATTGCTTAATTGCACTTTATGCCTCAGACTCTTTCCTCTCTAACCCACATTCCTGCTGCACCAGAGGGATAATCTTTCTAAACCAGAGAATTACAAGTTACTTTATGGAAAACACCTATCATAGTGATTGGTGTTAACAGTAGATGCTCATAAAAATGTTCCAAATTTTAAAATGCCATTTATATTAACAACAACAATAAAACTTTAGTTACTCCCTATGGCTTAGCATAGCAAATAATAAGACCTTTCATAATTTTCATAATTTAGGCCCAATTTCCAAGTCCACCTTCCTATTTCCTCTACTCCCATCCCTGCATTCTACACTGGCCAAAGTAGACTACTCACTGTTCCCTGCATTTTCATACCACCTATAACCTTTTATATTTTAAAATATAAACATTTTATTTAAAAATACTACCACATGTACCAAGCCTGTCTATTGTAGGTTTCCTTGTAGCTCAGTCGGTAAAGAATGTGCCTACAGTACGACCCAGGTTCGATCCCTGGGTCGGGAAGATCCCCTGGAGAAGGAAATGGCAACCCACTCCAGTATCCTTGCTTGGAAAATCTCATGGATACAGGAGTCTGGTGGGCTGCAGTCCACGGGGTCCCAAAGAGTCTGCACGACTGAGTGACTAACACTTACTTACCACATGCACCAAAGTATCATGGAAATTCTTAGACAGAAAGTAGACTATCTTCACTTAAAATCTATGTCTACAAGACCATTATAAAATAGTGTCCCCAGACTAAAAATTTCCCTTAAAAAAAACACATCTAAATTGTCTGGTAGAGCTATAACTTAATATGTCTATTTCCTTAACTTAGACATTATCCCAAGCAAGCACTAGGAAGATCCCCTGGAGAAGGGCATGGCAACCCGCTCCAGGATTTTGCCTGGAGAATCCCCACGGACAGAGGAGCCTGGTGGGCTACAGTCCACCGGGTCGCAAGGAGTCAGACACGACTGAAGCGACTTAGGCTGCACTCACACACAAAGAGAGATTTAGCTCCAAAGTACTTTTCTCTACAGCATCCTGTCCTGCACATTAGTTAGGCTCAAATAATGTTTTAAATTATTTGATTTGAATTGCCATACTTGAAAACTGATTACACATCAATAATCTAGACTTTTGGCTTTCTCTTTAAGAATCACCAGCTCATCCATTAAGATGGATATTATTAAACGAAAAGAAAGTCTTGCTTTCTGGCTGCAGGCCTGTACCGCCCACCCTAGAGTCCACCTCCGGCCCCCAGAGCTCCCGGCAGTTTTCCGGCCTCGAAGCCTCGAGAGCACAGCGAGGCTGCGGTGGTTCCCATGCCAAGGCCAGTGACAGCCTGTGAACGTAGGCGGCCATCACGCTCCAGACCAAGATCCGTGCGCCTGGCTATGTCCTAGGCGGCTGGTCAGTGGGAGAGACCTGCAGGTGTGGCTCGTCAGGACTCGCGTCAGGACAGAACACTCCAGAACCCCGCTGCTATCATGAGATCTCGAAACCCAGATGGGAGTCCTGCTGGGGAGCCGGGCGCACCGGCCTCCAGCAGAGCGCACCCGAGTCAAGCCAGGGCGCCTGCGCGACTCCGCGCAGCAGCCGAGCTCGGCCAGTCTGAAGGGCAGCGCAGAGCCTGCAAAGCTGTGGCCTTGGGACTGTCCTCCGATAAAGAAGGATCTGCAGGCTTATGACGTTGTTGCTGTGTTGAAAAGCAGTTGTGTGCGCGTGGATCAGCAGCGCCGAGGCGGTGGGCGAGTGTGTTACAGAAGTGTGAGCAGAGACTGCGTGGGGTCCGGAGACTCCAGGGAACCCAAGGGTGACAGAAAGCTCAGCCAAGAGGGCAGGCGTGGCGGGGGCCTGCAGTGCGAAGGCAGGAAGTCACCCCAAGGCAGCGATGTCCATCTGGGTGGGCTCCTTGTCCTGAAGTCCTCCAGCCCAGTGGCCCAGGGAGCGGCACCATTTTGTGGGCGTGCCCACCCCAGACTGGAGCTGTAATTGGACTATCCGCCCCCAGCCGAGGGGAGAATGTAGATGAGGTTCTGCGATTAGTGCTGATAACAGGGGCCTCACAGCTGAAACTTGGGAACACGTTTTCAGCACAAGGTGTTACAACGAATGGAAAGATTTCATGCATTTGTCAAGGAGGGTGTCCCCATGTTGGCAAAACTAGATAATAAATGGGTCTATTGAATTTTAAGTCTTGGTGAGAATGTGGAGAAATTAGAATCTTTGTGTTGGTAGAAATGCAAAATGGTACAGGCACTATAGAAAATAGTATGGAGACCCCTAAAAAACTTATAAAAAGAACTACTATAGGCCCAGCAGTCCTGCTTCTGTGTATACACTCAAGAATTCAAAGTAGGATCTTGTGCAGGTTCCATCCCTGGGTCGGAAAGATCCTCTGGAGAAGAAAATGGCACCCCACTCCAGTATTCTTGCCTGGAAAGTGCCATGGACAGAGGAGCCTGGTGGGCTACAATCCATGGGGTCACAAAGAGTCAGACACGACTGAGCACACACATTGAACTTTACACTGAAAAATGGTTAAGATGGTAAATTTTGTGTTTTTTTTAAACACAAATAGTATTTTTTTTTTTTAATTTAAAAACTTAAAACATTAAAGAAAATTTTTAAGAAGATGCATCATCTTTGGATCTGTCAGTTTTCCAAGGTATCAACCAGCTGAAGCTGAAGAGTAGTTTAACACACAGGCCCTCTCCAGGGCCACCACCTCCAACTAACTCTCCTAGCTTTCTCCCTCATGCCGAGGCCAAAGTGTCAACTGCCAACTCTTCCCCAGTTCTGTCTCTTCTTCACCTGGTCCTCTTCTCTCATTTCTGTTACTTTCAAGGCCACTGCTAGTACTTGAGTTTGCATCCTTTTCTCTAGCTCATGAATTTACAGGATGTTTGTAAGATCTTGCTCATTACTTCCCAGTCTGTCCTTTTAAAAATAAAAATCACATGTGTATAATTTTTCCATCCTAACTAGTCTTTATACAAAAACAATTCCAAAGATGTTATGTATGGTCTATCAAGAGATAACTGTAATATCAAGTCTTTTCTTTTGTTCCTTTGGCTATTTTAAACATATACTTCAAAAACTCTGTAAAAAAATCAGTTTGAAATATATTAGCTGAATTATTCAAGAACTCCAAGTTGTTCCATGTTCATACACTCTCACCTACTTTGTTTTTAAAGATATTTTTTGATGTGGACCATTTTTAAAGTCTTTATTGAATCTGTTACAAGATTGCTTCTGTTTTATGTTTTAGTTTTTTGGCCCCGAGGCATGTGGGATCTTAACTCCCTGTCAGAGATGGAATCCTCACCCCCTGCATTGGAAGGCAAAGTCTTAACCATTGGACCGCCAAGAAGTCCCACCTATTCACTTTTTAAAAGACAACAACAAAAAACTACACACACACAAACTTGCTCACGTGATTGTTCTCTTTACTAGATTATGTTTTTGGGGGGCAGAAACTGCATCTTATTCGTCCTTATATTCCCTAGACTGTACTAGGGAACACAGAACACAATAGACACTTAGAGAACATACTCTTGTTCCTACATCCTCAATCTCTCAATCTCGATGTTTTTGCCATTTTCTTACACTAAGCAATAAAACTAAACTGGACCCTCATTACTACCAGCAACACTGCTTCTAAATAAAGCATAGCAATATTTCGGAGCATTTTTTTCTTCTTCTTACAAAACAAGTATAAATCATTCTATCAACTCTCTGTGTTAAATAGAGTATCTTATCCTCAAAAGTATTTCAAGTTTTTCATTAATTTCTAAACACTAAAACGTCTTCTAAAATCTCTTATGTAAAAGTTATACAAATAACACATAAAACTATTCTACCAAAGTACTCATAAAACTGACGTTCATTTTTGAAGCTATGAGGTCCTACACACAGATATGTGTACGACAAGAACCATCGCCCAGCACCTGTCTGGCTCACTTTGTTTTCTTTTTGGCTGCGCCGGGAGTCCGCTGATGCACACAGGCTTTCCCTAGTGGTGGCCAGCGAGGGCTCCTCTCTAGCTGCAGCCCACAGGCTTCTCACGGCGTCGGTTTCTTTGTTGCAGAGCATGGGCTCGAGAGCGTAAGTTTCAGTGGTTGTGGAGTACGGGCTTAGCTGCCCTGGGGCACGTGGGATCTTCCCAGAGCAAGGACTTCACTCATGTCCCCTACATTGGCCAGTGGATTCTTAACCACTGGACCACCAGGAAGTCCAAGAAATACAAATATTTAAACAACTATTTTTACACATATTTGTGTCAGACATTAGGGACAAACTTCAATTTCTATCTAATGTGAAAAATGTGTATTTAGAGAAGATTAGTTTATTAGTTTCAGGATTAAAAGGGGTTTAGGTTATCTTGGGTTTTTGAGGCCATTAGTTATGAAAAGATTTCCATTATCTTTCATTTAAATATCTTTAGAACTGAGATTTACTTCAGGGTTTTCCTAGCAAACAAATTATCTATTCACTCACAAATAGTTTTGACAAAACAGTGTGATAAAGGGATGGAATGAGACTCATACACTCCTTCATTGTTTAAGAGAACTCTGTATTTTATGCCAAATTATATAAACTCAGTATGTTATCTCTTGGGAAAAATATGACTATTTTCTCAAAGTGTAAATTTTATTTCGGTATATATAAAGTACAGGTTTTATTAGATGTCTCTGATTCCCGAAATAACAGTATTAGGATGTGTGTTATTTTAGGTTCTAAAAAACTGCATAATAAAATAGTATAAGTAATATAAAGCTAAAACACAAAGCACGCACATATTTCTATCTAGCATAAAGGAGAATGTCATGTTTCTTTTTGTACAGCCAAAAGGTTCCCAAAACTGTGCACTTGGTTACCCTAGTAAATTAATACCTGTGCCACAGGACATTTTAAATTTCTGAGTAGAACACAGCTGCTGGACACAACACAAAACGCTAGCTCGAGGTAGTTTACATCTTCAATGTTAGACAGCATCCTTTCCACGACAGGATGTCTTTGCAAAACTGGATTTTCAGCAGTTGAGGTAAGTAGTATACAAAAAGCACAGTGGAACAGAGTACTGGCAGTGTTTAAGCTGATTCTAAAGTTTGAAAAACTGTGTAGCGACCACAATTACTTGTGGTCAGGACACAAATTCTTAGTGTTTGGACCTAACAGCTTAATAAATGGAATTATCAGACATTTCTTTTGGCCGAGGTATACTGTAAAACAACTGAAACAGTAAAGGGCACCGTAAGCTGAGAAAGTATTGAGGACGTCTGTGGTATAGGCAAGATATACACTAAAACAAAACTGTCATTTCACTGTTCATTTTCAACCTAGGAAATTTTCTAAACAGTCATTTAAGAAGAGGAAAAAATATATACAAACATACATACAAAGTTTCGATTTTTATTGAAATCTTGTGTTAGGTATCAAACAAAATTTGCTTTCTTCAGATAAAAATATTCTCTCCGGTGTATCCAGATAACTGCTAAGCCTAAATTGGTCCTCCAATGTCTTGTTTTTACTGTCCTCATGAAATGTTCATACGCACTGAGGATGTTCCCAAGAACACTCATCGCGTAAAGGACCGTACGTGGCGGCCTCTGCCACTGCCTCCACTGACAAACTTTCCTCTTGAGCCTCCACTGCCGCTGTTTGCACTTGCCCAGGAAGGCCCGAGCCCCCCACGACCTCTGGAAGCACGGTCACGAGGACTTGGGCGGTAGCCTATAAAAGAAAGAACGTGATTTTCAGTCGCAACACCCTTTCCTTTCCCATTATGTAAATACAAACCTGTGACACCAAGCTCAAAACAAGACAGGGACTACTGCTCGCTCCTTTTAATATTCAAGTGCAAGTTCTGTGAATGTGCTGAAGACCACTTTAAATAGTTAAATTGTCTAAACATAAGAACTACATCTCAAATAAAGCTATTATTTGAAAAATGTGTATTTGGGACTTCCCTGGCAGTCCAGTGGTTAACAATCTGTGTTTCCACTGCACAGGTAGGGGAATTAAGATCTCCCATGCCTTATGGTGCAGTCAAAAAAAGAGAAAAAAAGTGTGCATTTGAAACCAAAAGCTACATCTGACCAGAGAATTTCAGACTTGATATAGGAATGTTTTAGAGGGGAAAAAGGTTATATACCTACGTACATAAGACAATCCTGCAACAGAAAAGAATATAGTTGACCCTTGAACAACTCGAGGGTTAATCCAATATAATTTATGTTGGCCCTCATATCCAGAAGTTCCTCTGCATCCTTATTTCAAACCATGAACCATATTTATTGCTAAAAAAAAGCCTACCTATAAAAATAGACAACCCTTGCAGTTCAAACCTGCGTTGCTCAAGAATCAAACTGTATACTCCATGAAGATATCTCAGCTTAGTCAACATGAAACCACTGATTATATACACAGTTCAGAATCTAAAATTTTGAGAATTTATACAGAACATGTACACTGGGCACTCAGACATAAAATTACATAGACTTCAGAATTATATGCCTACATTCTAAAATATTCCCTCCCAGAATGAGAATATATGACATTCTACAACCTGAAAAGGATGATTCGCCTCCCTCCTCCTCAGCAATAGCAAGAAGGAAGAATGTGTACCTGTAGAACTAAGTGGTCGTAATGGTGGAAGAGGACCCCTGTTAAAATTGCTCTGGCCTCCACGACTTTCATTGTAAGTTCCTCGAGGAGCATTCTGAGCACTCCAACTGGAGCCTCTTGTTCCCTCCCGACGACTGTAGTTTCCTAGACATGGACAAGACGATCAAAATGTACTTGTACCACAATTCTTCAACTGGATTAAGGAAGATATGACACGTTTTTCTTAATTTTCAAAAGCAATGGAAGAGAAAATATGGAATTTTGTACATGAAATACAGGTAAGAGTGGCAGCACCATATATAGTCAGAAGCAGAGGCTCTGGAACCAGACTGCCAAGGTTCAAATACTCGTTCTGCCTGTGT